TTACAGATGATAGGAAATTGGTAATTTCCATAACCAAATAAATAAATGGGGGTGGAGGGTGAAAATATCAACAGTTGTTTCTGTGGAGTGTAATGCAAGAGGAATGAGGGGAAGTAGGCAGAGACACGGACAGACAAATGGTCAGCTGTCTCTGACTAATAACGTGAATGGGTTTGCCTCCTACTTGCTGGTCATTCATTTCCTGAGCTTTAACAGAGGAGATGGCTCCCTGAGCTAAAAAGTGAGAACTAGGGGAATTGCACATTCTATATAACTCCCCTGAGGGAGATGTTTGCCACAGCCGCTTATAGCCTGCACTTTGCTCTGTGTCACTTTTGAGGACTTAGATTTGGGACCAATCTGATACAGAAGACCTTCAATTTTCCCAGGCTGGGTCTGTGCTGGGAACAGACTGGCTTCTGAAGGGGCCCGGAGTGGGAAGCTGTCTTACTGACTCACTGCCTTTCTCTCCTCAGTTGGAGCTGATCACTACCCAAGCCATCAAGGCTGGTTTCACTGGTGGTGTGGTGGTGGACTTCCCCAACAGCGCCAAAGCAAAGAAGTAAGTGCCGGGCGCTGGTGTGCTGCCTGTGTCATGGCAGGGAGGGTGGCCATGTGGTTCTTGCAGAGCGCAGGTCAATGACAAGTCAACCAGAGTAGTGCCGGGTTGGGTAACGTCACTTTCTGCACCTGTTTATTAATGGTAGAAAGGCTGAGGACTTGTCACATCCAGCCCTCACTCTGCTCTCTATTGTTTCAGGTTCTACCTCTGTCTGTTTTCTGGGCCTTCGACTTTTCTGCCAAAGGTGAGGGACCCTGAGTTTGCAGGCACATGTCTTTTGGGACTGAACCTGGTACCTGTGGGAGGGCTCAGGGATTGAAAGATCTTCAGTGAGATCTAAGAGCACTTTGGTTTCTGTAGGGGCTGAGTGAGATTACGGACGAAGAGGATGCCCAGGAGTCCACTTTCACAAATGAGAGGTAAAGCAATTCCTCAGCCGTGCCTAAGGTGTGGGTCTGCCCCACCAGGTTCACCAGACATGGCAGAAGCAAAGTGGCAGTGGCAAGACTGTTCCATTTCTCTCTGCTTCTCCAAGTCTTTCCAGTTCAGATGCAGCAGTAATAATACTGAGGTGGTGATGGAACTGGGGAGCCACTTGGGACTATGCTTGCTCCTTCTTCAGGCTTGGGTGACTGATGGCCTTCTGGACACTGGTGGCAGCAATGTAGTCTTAACCACTTCCTCTCTGCTGTCACCCTTTCTATGCCTGGTAAGCTGTCTTCTCCCTGCCTCTTGGCTGCTGTGGCTCTCCCCTTTCTTGCATTCTCTCTGGTCTCTTAGCTCACTCCCATCAGCATACAAACATGACATAGTCTCCCATTTTAAGATCCTCCCTTGACCCCACAGTAGCGTCTACTTACTTACACCCCTGTATTCCCTTCCCCCATTATGGCTTCCCTTTATAAGGGCACTCTTCATACCTACTCTTGTTTCCTCCCCTGCCATTCTCCAGTTCTCTTCCCTGGCTCATGCTGTCTCATCACAACTGTTCTTTGTCAAGGCTACCACCAAATCTTCCCTGCCAAATCTTTGGTCACTTCTGAAACTTTCCCCCGCCCCTTCTCTGTCCTCATCTTAACTTGCCTGTTCTGTAGGTACTGACTCTGACTGACATTTCTTCCCTTAACACTTTGCTCAGTTGGCCCTCTACCCTCTATCTTGGTTTTCTCTTAATCTCACTGGCTGTTCTTTCTCAGTCCTCCCTGAAGGCTGCTTCTGTTGGGAGGCACAGCCTGGACGCCATCTCCATCTGTGCTGCCTTGAACATCAGCTACAGGTTCATCACTCCCAGATTTATATCCTTGATTTCAACACCATCTCTGATTACCGAATCACCTTCTAAATTCTGTACCTGCACTTTCACAGATGTGGAATATACTCTCCCAAACCTGTCTCCTTTCTTTATCAATCTATCATTCCTGTCTTCCTTATATCTGACGTCTAGTCAGTCTGGTCCATCAGCGAGTCCAGCTGCTCTACTGTCAGTGTATATCCTGATTCTAACCCTGTTCCCTACTCCCACCTGGTCTCAGTCACTACAGCCCTTTCCTGGGTTACTAAAGAGCTACCTCATTTGTCTCCCCACTTGCAGTCTTTTTTTTTTTTAAGATTCATTCATTCATTTATATAAGCACTGCGTACAGTCAGAAGTGTGGGAGGGTGAGAGAATTCACCAGAGCGGGGAACAGAACAGGCAGACTGATGAAGTACACTGCTGAGGGGAGCAGTGGGCGGCAGGAGAGGTCTGCACGCCATGAGGGACCCTCACTGGTGGCCAGGGATCAAACCAGTGCTGCAGAGGCTGCGGGCAGCTTCGCAACCCAGCGCTCAACCGCTGCGTCACCAGGGAGGCCCCCTCCCCACTTGCAGTCTTTGCCTCGTTCAGTTTATTTCCTGCGCAACAGCAAGATTATTTGCATTTCATTTAATTTTTTAAAAATGTAAGTCGTGTCTTCCGTTTTTCTTTCTTTTTTTTTTTAAAAGATTTATTTATGCATATAAGAACTGGGGTACAGGCCAGAGGTGTGGGGGGTGAGAGGATCACCAGAGACAGAGTGGGGAACAGAACAAGCAGACTGACTGAAATACACTGCTGAGGTGTGCGCGGGCAAGACAGGAGGGTCTGCTGCGCCATGTGGGTTGCTCCCTGGCCGGCCGGAATGGAACTCGTGCTGCAGAGGCTGTGGATTGCTTCATAGTGCTGTGCTTAACCCCTTGCACCACCAGGGAAGCCAGTGTCTTAACCTGTTGAGTTCTTTATTTTCTTTAACACCTTTCTTGCTCTAAATCATGTATTTGTTTACTTGGTTATTATTTGTATCCCCAACTAGAATGAAAACTTGGTAAGGATTGGTATATCCAATATCAAAAGACTCTTATTAGTAAAAGGTACTTGATATTTATTGAATGAATAATTAATAATAAGGTAGTTAAGGAGTAGATTATTTCTTAGTTCTGATTAATATGAGGGAAAAATCTCAAAGACCTTTAAGACATTCATTCTCTGTCCATTTTTCCTCTTGAGTTTCGAAGACCCATTGGAGAAAATCATTAATGTTCCATGTGTCCGTCATGAATTTATACCATCTGACTCCTTGGCCTCTTACCCCCGATCCCCAGGTCCTCTCAACTTCTTCAGCCCCATTCCCCTTGGGGATTTGGGGGCTTTTCTACATGTTTTCTGCTATAAGGCCCCTATTACTTGCTCCCACTTGACAGAGGAATTACAAGTTTTGTAACTCCCTCCTTCCATCTTAGGATCTCTCTTGTCCTCATTCTGGTGTCTACAGACGATTTGTCCTAACTGTAAACTTGGGTAAGTTGTGTAATCTGAGCATTCATTTTTCATCTACTTTAAAAGGAGGGTAGGCCTCCCCGTCGGCTCAGCAGGTTGAGCGCAGCACTGTGACGCTGTCTGCAGCCTCTGCGGCCTGATTCGATTCCCAGCCGGCCAGGGAGATTCCCATATGGCGGGGCAGATCTCTCCTGTCTCTCCTGCTGCTCCCCGCTCTGTCTCTGGTGAATCTTCTCACCCTTCTGCGCCTCTAGCCTGTACCCCAGTTCTTATATAAAAATAAACCTTTTAAATAAATAAATAAAAGGGGGGGTAATACCCTCACTTGGGCAGTGTGTTGAGTAGCGAGCCTATGTGTACAGGGCTCAGCACAGTGCCTGGCGCAGGCTGTGTCTTCCTGGGTCTGCAGGCTCTTTCTATTCAAGTTCTCAGATTTGTGGAGGGGTGGGGAGGAGGCTCGTGTCTGTTGGAAGGATAATCAGAGTATTGTCACATCTGTCTAGTGTCACTCGGGCCACATATTATAAATGAACAGATGAAGAACTTTTTTTTTTAAACGTTATCTAATTTTTTACTTTTGCATCTTTGTTTTACCTGTGCACTCCTTAATCCTTGCCACCTGCCTGGCCCTTCACCCTTCCACTCCTAATCTGCTTGCAAAAGACCCATTCTACCTGTGGCATTTGCCATGCTAAACCACTTTTTTGTGTGTGTGTGTGTGGGACCCTCGCCGATGGCCAGGGAACAAACCTGTGCTGCAGAGGTTGCGGGCAGCCTCGCAGCCCAGCGCTCAAATCGCTGCACCACCAGGGGAGGCCCTGACCACTTCTCTTATGGCACCTGTCATCTAGGGCACCCATTATTGTCACTTGTCTCCTTCATTTCCCCCGATCACTCCTCCCTGTTGTTTCTTCTGTGGTTCACATCTTGCTCCCCAGCTGGCCCTCACAGATTCCCAGGGATTAGTCTTCCCCTATCTCCAGCCCCCAGTTGCAACTGCCTTCTGCTTTGCTCCTGGCATGTCAGGCTGCTGCCTCCACATTGTGGGCCCTTTTAAATTTTCATGAACCACTTCCTTTATACACACCAAGACCATGTTGTGCCATCATTCCCTTGGTAAAAAGTTCACTTGATTCTTTACTACTTCCTGAAGGGAAAACATACTCCTTGCTGGCATTCACAGCATCCAGCTGGCCCTCCCACCTTCTTATACCCGTGACCCCACATACCCAGGGCTCGCCTGTCCTTTAACATTCCCCTTCGCTCTTCTCATAGTGCCTCATTTTCACTTAGTACTTCTTGCCTAGAAGGTGGGGACCTTCTGTGTGTGTGTTGGTTGCCCTTTTGTTTTCCCTACACCTGTGCTTTTCTTTTTCTCAGCATTTCCTTAGCTGCTCCTGGGCCACTTGGCATTTACTTTTCCCAGTGTGGGTTGTCTCTGCCACGGCCTGGTCACTGACTCTTCATGGGCAAGTCAGGTTTATACCTATTTTGTGACATCTGTGGGCTGGCCATGTCAGTGCCCATGAAAGGTGCTTGCTTGGGTGGCAGGCAGCCTCCACAGTGAGAGTCATGTTGGAAACACTTTGATCCCAATTGCCAGGTGGGGCTGTGGCTTGGGGTCCCAGGTTTTCCCTGTTCTAGGGCCTCTCTCCCATGGGGCTGTGGGGTTCCCTTTTCTCCTCAGCCAGGGCTAGAGGCCAAGATCAGCCCTTGAGGGTCTTTGTCGGGACTGCCACAAGCTGGGCAGCCTTGTTTTCCTACCTCAGACAGTTGTAATCACCTTTGCCAGGCTAGGGCTTTTAGTGGGAGCAGTGGGCATGGGACCTCAGGCTTTCCGTGGATCCTGTCAGACTTGTGAGCTGATCCTGGCCTAGATTGTCTGCAAAATGGCTTGGCCCCTGCTTGCTACACAGGCAGGATATATGTATAACAACAAATGGTCACATACCATAAAAATGCCTATGAGCATTTAGAAGTGGGCTTCTTACCTAGCTTCTCTCTAAACATTGGCTTTGCCCGCAGTGCATATTACCAGGAATGGGGATGTCCAGAGGTGGGAACTTCTGTTGTAAAAGAGGCGCCTGAGGTCACCTCACTCAGGGAAACTCACCGTTTTTCCTACCTGAATTAACTTGGTGCCTGCCAGACAGTTCCATCCGACCCGTAACTGTCTCCTGCACAGGATCCCATACAGGATTGCAAGGCGCGGGGTGGTGAGGAAGAGCCGGGAGTGGGTGCTGGAGAAGAAGGCGCGCCGCAGGCGTCAGGGCAAGTGAGTACCTGGACTGGGAACAGGCTGGTAGGAGGCGGGTAGAGGAAGGTTTGTGGCTACCGAGGACTCAGCTACGTTTGAAGGGGTCCCAGGGGTCTTTGTTCTTTTTTCTGAGACTGTTCCTCCTACCTGTTGATTTTTTTTTTTTGTTACAGGGAAGTCAGACCTGACACTCAGTACACTGGCCGCAAGCGCAAGCCCCGCTTCTGAGCAGGCAGTTGAAGCCAATGGGACCGCCTGGGGTTCGCAGTTGTGAGCTGTGGCCTCCAGCCTAGGCGCCTGCCTCTGGGAAGTTTCTATGTTGACGCGCCTACTTCAACTCATAGTGTTTTAGAAAAGTTCTATAAAGCTCTAAAAATATTTTCTTTACTAAAGTTATAAAGCATCTTACATTTTGTTCTAAAAGCAATAAACCACTTTCTGTGGAACTCTTGACGCCAGCATTTTCTAGCTCTTTGATCCTAAACAAATTTCTCAAGTTCCTTTCTTGGTGGGGGCTACTATTTGATTCCTGAGGTAGAAGTAGGTTTACAGAACTTCAATGTTTAGAGCAGTCTTTTAGCCTGCAAGACTAACACATTCCTTTAACTTATGTAACACTTGACAAAGTTGGAAAGGATGAGCAGGATGGAGTGTATCTGGGATCTTAAGCATGAGGCACTGCCCAGCATGAGGCACCCACTGGTCTGAAGGTATTTTCCAGCCCAAAGGCCCTCAGCTGTATCAGTAGCTGCTAACCAGCCCAGCACCTGTCACCTGCTCAGTTATTAGTTGTCAGAAGGGCAGGTCCTGTACAGGGGTTCGGGGGACTCACAGGCTGATAGGAAGAGGGGAGCCAAAGGTCGTTTTCAACTTCTGGGGAAAATGGGAAGAGGGTACATCTGGCCCATGGTGCAGACTGGGCACCAGGTGTTCAGGAAGCCCTGAGTGAGACATTCAGGCTCGAAAGGAGGGCCCAGAGGCTTACGTCCTTTGTGGGAAAAGGACTGGCTTCATTTGAGTCCCTCCATCTTTCTGCCGTATACGCTGACCCCCCTGCTTCCCCCAAGTTACAAGAATGTGACATGATAGAAATTTAGAGCAGAGGCATGGTACAGATACAAATGTTTATTCTACATAAAAATTTCACAAAATGGGCAGCTGGTTGTACCAAGACCTTTGGTGAAGGGATGGAGGAGGGGAGGGAAGTTGCTGTTAAAGAAGGCAACACGGACAGTGGTTAGTTGTCACTGGGCAGGAGCAAAGCTGAAGGAAGGTAGGGCACAGACGTGGCCCCATCCCCTGCTGCATGCACTCGCATGCACACTCCTTGCCTGTCAATGAGGAAGTGGGGTGGGGGACGCATTTCTGACTTGAGAAGGCCCAAGGTGGTGGGAAAGGACAGGTACCCCTCCCTGGCTGGCTGCTGAATACTGCATCCGAGACACCTGACACCCACGTGGCACATCAATGGGGGACAGCAAAGGTAGAATGAGATTGCAGGCCAGAAGTGACATCAGACTTCCCAGAGCACAAGAGAGCAGGGACCACTGTCCCAAACATGCACAACACACTGGCTTGAGGACCCAACTGAGGCCTGTTGGGGAGATGGCCCAGGGCACAGACCTGATTGGGGCCTGCTCTGCTTCCCCAGCTCCAAGGGTGGTTGGGAACCAGGTACCAGCCAGTTTTCCAGAAGGTAACCTGGGGTCAGGATCAGGCATAACGCAAAGGGGTTGCTCTTGGGCTCTAGGAATATGGGAAGGGAGGCTGAGGCAGCCAAAGACCTGTTGGACTCTGCCCCTAGGTGGGGAGGAAGCCTGGTCTTGACAGGGTCAGAAGCCACCTGGCCACGACACCCTGAGCCTCCCTGGCAGTGATCAGCTGTTAGAGGCTTCAAGCTGGGCTGTCTCTCAGGGCTACCCTCCCCTAACCTGAAAAGCAGCACCATGTGGCCAGCTGATCCCCCCCATCCCTCAGGGGGACTGACTTAGGGGGACAGCTGGAGAGGACAGGGCAGATGAGTGGGTCAGTAGGAGGCAAGGGTGGGATTCAAAGAGCCTTGATCCCAGGAGGGGCAGACCCCAGACTGGAGAATTACAGAAGGCAAGGGAAGGAGAGCGTGTGAACCAGGGCAGCCCTGCCTGGGAAGGGTGAGACGGCCTGGGCCAGAGCCCCAGTCTGTTCCTTGTTGACCGATCCCCACCCCACTGGCAGTTTCCCAGCCCAGCGCCCCTCTGCCTCTTCTGTACAGACACACACTGTCACAAAGATCATGCACACGACGGCTCAGGGCAGGGTGGGGATGGAAGGCCCTGTGGCAGAGAAAGGAGCAGGATGGAGTGGGAAGGAGGGCCTCCGAGCCAGAAGGCGGCAGCAGCCAGGGGGCCTCCTCGGGGCAGACCATCCAGAGTGGAGTGGAAGGTGGCGGTTTCTAGCCAAAGATGCCTCCAAAGGTGGAGGCGATGACGATGCCCAGGACCACACAGCAGATGATGATCATGATCTTCTTCTGCACCGAGGAGGCAGGAAGGAGCCTCAGTACACGTCCGAGAGGGCGGGGGCGGGGAGGATGAGCGCCCTGGCCAGAGCTTTGAGGGGCATGGCCCAAAAGGGGAGTGAGGGGATCAAATGGGGAAGGTGACAGCCTAGAACACAGCCGGGCAGAGGGTGGTAATGGGACACTGCAGGGCTGGGCGCCCTGGGTGAAGGTTCTGGTCGGAGTTGAGAGGTGGGGGTAAAGGTAGAACTGGGAAGGATTTGTGATGGTCTAGGAATTTCTAGTGGGTCGGGGTGGGGCGTGGGCAGAGTTGGAGCTACTGACCCGGCGTGCCTTGCTCTGGTACTTGACAGCCTTCTTGGTATCAGAGACCGCCCTCTCCACGTAGTCCACCGCATGCTCCACGTTGTACTCAATCCTGTCAATCATCTCTCCCTGCAGGGTCAGGGGCACCCAAGCTCCAGAGGGCCCCGCTCAGGGTCAGGACTTTGGGAAAGCACCCTGGAGTTAGAGAAAAGGGGGCATGAGGATGAGGTACAGCTTCTCATCTGTGTCCTTCAGGCCAGAACCCCAGTCACTTTCTGCGTCTCCCCACAGAGCAGCCATCCTGGGGAGGGACCTGGCCATGCAGTCTCATCCGAGGGGGTGGGTGGGCTGGGGACCATGCAGACACATTCAGCTGGGGCCCTGAGTCAGACAGTGCCAGGCAGAGGGAGGCAGGGGCAGGCGTGGGTAGTCTGGAGTCTGGTCAATGCTCCCCAGGTGACCACAGTGAGCCCCCCTACTCCATCCTTCCCAGGCACCATGGTTCCGTCCAGCTCTGTAGTCTTCAACCTTTAAGACTCACTGCCCTGCCCAGGGCCCTCTTGAGCCCTGCAGTTTGGCCCCATGCAGCCCCTAGAGGCGATTCTGACCATGACCCCGCCCAAGACTCCCAGCAGTTCTCACTCTAAATCCACTGCACCCACCAGCACCCCATCATCATGGTCTCTCACCCAGATGGCAGCAGCAGCCTCTTTGTCATGGCCTCCCTGCTTCCTAACTCGGGTCATATCACTCTACACTGAAGACCTTCAATCCTCTTCAAGAAGAGAATCCAGATGCCCAGTCCCACCTCCCAAGACTTCCCCCATTTACAGCATCTCCAACTATCTTTGCTCTCCAGCTGCATGAACCTCCTTTCAGCTCCCCAAATTAGTCAGGCTCTTGCCAGCCCCAGGACTTGGTGCTGCTAGCCCCGCTGCCTGGGCCAGCTCATCAGTCTACCCAGGGGAAGTCTTCAGTGCTCAAATGCCACCTCTCAGAGGCCTACCCTGTCTGAAGTCATTTTAGCAGTGTTACCCCAAGTGTAGCATCAACATCACCCTTGAGTTTGTTCGAAATGCAAATTCATGCCTTCCTCTCCTCCTTGGACCTACAACTTCTGACACTGGACACTTGAAAGCCCTGCCAGTAGTTCATGGGCTCTTTCAAGGGTGAGAACCACTACTCTATCACACAGCCTCCTCATATCTCCTGAGCAAGTGGAGAATATTCCATCTGTCATCTACTTATGCTGCCCTTTTGCCCCACAGACACTGGCCCCAGGAAGCAGGCCCTCAGCTGTCCTGTTCACTGCTGTACCTCTAGCTCCTAGACAGGGACTGGGTCCACAGAGCCCAGGGTAGCTGTGAATACAACAGACGAAACAGGGAGTAGGTGGGAAGGGTCATGCAGGGCTTGGGGTCCTGGACGGGCAAGCAGAGCCATGCAGCACCTTGGGTCTTGGTACAGCCATGCAGTGATAAAAGGGTCCTTCTTACGGGCAGGGCCCTGGAGGCAGTTTCAACAGAGCTGGTTAGTTACCTGGAGACTCAGTCCCTCCCGGGCAGGGCAGCATGTTGGGCGGAAAGGGTAGGGGTTAGTGCAGCCCTAGGTGCTGCAGTGGGCTAGGGCGGATGGCGACTGGCCCCGGGCACTCACCTGGCTCTCCACCAGCATGGCCATGTCCATGAACATGTCATGCAGCTCACGGATGCTGT